ATGGTTCTTGTACTAAGACGCTTAGCAGATGATGGGAGTGTTAAATTGATTGTACCTGCAAACCAGCCGTGAAGGAATGAAAGGTGTTTAACTTTTCTCCAATCTTCCAGCGTGGTAATGTTAATGAGCTTCATTAAATTTGTAGGGGAATCCAGGCTTCTGTATATGCCAAATGTAAATTTCACGGCTTTAACTGAACATTTTCTAGTTGCAAAATATCTTTTTGATAATACAGATCCCACACAATTGATGCGTACTCCAATTTAGACCTCACACAGGCATTGCAAGATATACGTTTTACGCCACTGGGTGCTTTCCGAAGTTTTCTTTTAAGAAGCCACAGTTTCTGGAGACACGCTGCACAAATATCGGATTGTCCGTGACTGAAAAATAGAGAAGGATGCAAAGAAATAAGTGATAAAACACTTTGGCTTGATCGAGAATGGAACCCAGGCTACCTGCATGGCAAGCAGGCGTTCTACCACAGAGCCGTGCTTGCAACTTCGTGGGGGAAAAACACTGTGTGAATGGAACGTAGTGGGAGGAGTCTTCTTGACGCGTGTAATGTTAGTTGGCAGAAGCATGGGGTCGCTCTCTGGTTCAGAAAGTGAAAAAGAATGGGTGTTTACAAAGACCACTTATTAAAAAGCATTCAGTCTTATTTAATCATCAGCTGTAAAAGTATCAACATAAGGATAAACTGCGTTGGTTCGCACGTTGCCTTACAAATCTGTAGTGTGCACTTATCTGATCTGCAAAGTGAATAATTGTGGCGTATCGGGCACTTGGCTGTACTTGCAGTATGCATTCGAAGATAGTTTGAAACGGCCAATTTTGTGTGCACAGTTGTTCGTTTTCTTGCAGCATGGTTGAGGCATGCACCAAGAAGCGAAGCCAGGTTAACAGTGGGGAAGGAATTGATTATAGGGTCCAATCACATTACTGCATTTTATTCTTGCAGGCGAAGCTCAAGTGTTTTTTGTTTTTTTTTTGTTCGAACATGGGGTTTACATTCAGTGAAATTGCAAGCGAGTGCATGGGTTGCCTCTCCCAGCAGCTGTTGTAACTATTTAGCTCGTAATACTCAAGTCATGCAATGGTCGAGGGATCTGGGCTTATGGCATTATTTGTTGAGAGAAGAGCGAGTGATTGCTGGCAGGCCTCCAGATGTAATTGTAAATTCCAGGTCACATGCTGCGCTCTAATGTCTGGTTGACATGCGTTTAGGAGCCTCAACTGTCGATCAACAGATAAGGCCAAGTAAATTATACGACATAATTTGTAATAATTGTGATATAAATGTAGAGAAAGTAAAGTGGGCAAAAAGATTACCTTCCAGCAGGAAGCAGACCTTCAACTTTCAGATTTAGCGTCACAAGTCCTACGAATTGAGCTTGAGTGCAGCCATCACCCCGCACTCGTCATCGCGCATATCCGTGCATTTAACCTTGGGAGTGTAACCACACTTACCATTACAGCCATAATGGTAAGTGCGGAACACACTTTTTCTGCTTCCTAGTGCTTTATAGCATATGATCCTTTTTATGAGCTGGCAGCTGACCAATAATTCTGAAGGCATGCTACCTGAAGGCATCAAATCTGCCAAAACGAGACCCTTGCTTTGAAATTAAGAAATGAGGGAAATTTTAAGGGCTTGTTTTTTTTTTTTGTTAGATATAGTATGATTGAGAACAGACAATAATTGCCAGTTCTCATTAATATTGGCAAAAAAAAACAAGCCCCTGAAATTCTCATTGTTTTCTTCATTCACTGTAAAAAAAGGCATTTCAGTTTCAATGCATAACTTTTGTAAACTATTCAGAACGATCGCATAAATAATTTTCGGAGAAATAAAAGAATTTCTTGTATAGTACAATTTGAAACCCCAGACAATGTTCTTTGACTTTCCTTCTGTGTACATAGTGTGCACGTGCGCCACGCAACGCCCATTCGTCACTTCCGAAATGAGCCACCGACATGCCCGGGCACCTGCCAACTCCGTCGCCTACCGCTACCGTGTTGTCTCCTCAAGCTTGTGCCTATTTAGTTTTGCCTCACGATGCAAGTTTGAGGGCTGTTAGTGAGGCAAGTTAATTTAGTAGTCCCCCGAATAGAGAGCAGAGCTTCGGTGTGTTTCTTCGCCGAAAGTGATTACTCAAAGTTGAGAACGCACTTTGCGATTTTCCGAAAAGTATCGGCGTGTTTGGCTGGCGCGAATTAACAAAAAAACTACTTGACGAAACTCGGTGATATTTGCGTCTTCAGGTGTAACTTCATTCCTGGTAAGTGCCATAGCCAAGCACTTACCTGCAAACAGAAATAGCTTACCAAGATACTGTACATACAAACTTGTCTGCGACCACTGCGTGCACAATCAGCGTGTCAGGGAGGCGGTCAAAATCGTGATGGTGATCACGGAAGTTCGGGTATTGCTTGGAAATAAACTGTGAAAATGGATGCGAAATAATATTAGTTCATATTGAAGTATAGCCAACTGGTTCGAGTTGGGGGGTCAGGATTTTCAAAATTTGGTCAATTAATTTTCTAACACGGTCTCCATCATTTTCAGGGTCTCCACTGTACATTGGCGTACAAAAAAAAAAAGTGAAATACAAGGTGAAAAAGGTGCCAAACATACGCGAAAAAAAAAGCGATGACCGGCATTACCGTGGCATGCACCACGCAAAGTCTCTATCTGCCTCGCATAATGTTTTCCTTGGCTGTTTCCACAAATTTCAATCAAACAGGCTCAACATAAGCCCTGTATAAAACAATTAGGGGAGGCGGGGGATGTTGCTGCTTTGGTGGCGTAGGCCGCAGCAATATATTAATATTATATCTCTTGTAAGCTTGCCTAGCTTTGCAGGACTCATTTTTGATAAGAGCTGCTGCGCTTCGCTCATCCGCTCTTAAAAGTGTGGCTCAAGAGACTTTGGGCTTTCACTTGTTCTTGGGCCATGCAATTTGTGGTGTTTGTAGTGAAAACGAGATAATGGGCCCTCGTAGGTCGTGGCGGGCAGCCGGTGTATGCGGTGGCTGGTATACGTGTCGCACATCTTGATTTTCTGATCTTGTATCGAGTGAACAAACGAGGCTTTCCTGATCCGATGAGCTCGTTAAAGTACGACAACAAAAAAAACCACAATGCTTCCTTTCAACATTGTACACAGCAACAGATAACGAGCCCCCCACAAAATGCGCTGCAGCACGTGAACTGCCATAGGTACCCGGCTTGGCGGGAGAGGGCGACAACGGCGTAAGTGACATCACATGAACACTATGTATTCTTAAAGTCACAGCACATGCTGATTTCACTCAAGACTTCATGTGTATCCAAGTCTCAAATGAAACTGAACCTGCAATAGTGTCAGTGTCAATAGTTGGCAGTCATCTGACAAAGCATAAGCCACATGACCTTTTTTTTTGTTTCTTCACGTCGATGCACTACAATCAGTTTTTTAACACATTAAAGAGAACCGTTTTAGGCTGAAGCCGGGCAACATCATTCAAACAGGTTATAGATTTGCGTGCTTCGCCGGAATAGCTGCGAAGGATTCTTTAAAGAGTGGGCCACTATTAAAGCTGTGATAGTTTAAAAAATCAAATTAATATTGATTACTTTTGATTATAAACACAAACCATAATTGCTTACTTTTGGGTCATAATAATTATACAGGGGATATCAAGTTTTAAAGAAAAGTCTTGCACCCTTCACATGTTGAGGAATATGTAGGTGGCAAATTTTCATTCCGATTGGGCTACCAGAAAAACTAAAAATATTATGTCCAAATTAAAGAAGTTGGCCTAAAATGGATGTTGAGAAAAACACATTTTAAAGGTGTAAGTGGAAACTGATCTATGTGGAAAAGGTATGCTTTTTAAGGTGATTTGTTCTATCATGAGAGCTTGTCAATTATGGTTATTTTGAGCATGTGGTTTCAGTGAACTCCTTATGCAAAAACGCACTGGCAAGCAGCCAGGTGACAATATTCAGGGCGCTCGAGACAACGAGCTCTTTTTTGTTTCAATAGTAACCTTGTACTATTTGAAAGTGACTTTAACCTACTTCTATTTTAGTGATAATCTCCAGTTTTTTTTTGTCATGAAAGTAGAGAAACTAAACTTTTCAAAGTTATTAAAAATGAAAAATATGTAATTTTGATATGAAAAAAAACTTGCATTTAAGGTCTTGGGCCATTTTTTCATAAGCTGGTGTGGGCATTGTTTAGTTCGATATTGAAAGAGTTTCAATTATTCAAAGATGCCAAGCGGGCCTTCTAAATGTTCCCTCAATGTGTAGCCGTTGTATTTGTTCAGTATAACCAGTTATGGAAGCCGATAATGTGTCATGTGTACATGTGTGGCGTCATGTAGGCTGCTGAAACATTGTAGTGAATAATTTACTTCTGATATTCCACTATATCTTCATGCTTTTACTCAAATTGCTTAAAATTATTGTCAAATACATGAAGTATGCTAATGTGTACAAAGCAATAATTCATTGTTTTATGTATAAAAATGTGCCAGTGCTTTTCACCACATAAAATGGCAGTGCTACTCTAGCCATTAAAAAACAGTAATACTATCTAGCAGTAGTACTATTTCACATACTTGATAAGTAGCAATATCAAATGAAGCTTTTGCTGCTTGGCATTGTACATATAATTTTATTAACTAAGTCCAATAATTTGTTGAAAGTGTTACAGTCTATTGTAACAAAGCAGATGTCTTATTTGTCACTGTTTAATTATAGTGTCTGCATATCATCCAAGTCGGATGTCTACGTAGTGGCAGCAGGCAGCTGCATTGACTAAGTATAGTACTTATGCATTGAAAGATGGCAGCTTGGGTGACACATGTTTTCGATTGTTGCACTGCTAGCACTACAGCAACATGTTTTTATTGGCAAACGTTGTCCAGAACGTTGCTTATGTACGCAGCAACACTCCTTGATTGCCTGGGTATTCCAGTCCTGTTACAGGCCGCGTGTGGCGTATGGTTTGCATTACCATCTTGTTCTCCTCGTTTCTTTGCAGGTTCTTTGCATTTGGTGTCCCGTGTGCAGTGCCATTTGCTCATGTCCGTACAAGGTGGACTGCATTCCTTCTGGCAGTGCGCCTACGTGATCAAGGACAGGAGAAACGTGAAAAGACACCTTTGCATTAACCTAATCAATCATCTCTTCCAGTACTGCATGGGCTCAACCATATTTACTCGGAGCAACAGTCTCAGTGTGTTCATATTTGCTCAAGATCGCTCCACTTTTTCTGTGTTCACTGAACCTATGTGACCCAAGGACAGCAGAAATGTATTTACCCACTTCTGATCAGCCAGAACCGTGACTTCAAACTTACTCCATTGAATTCAAAAAAATTTTTTTGCCAGTTTCATGGTAGCTTCGTCCAATCAAATTTTATCCCATATATTTCATGGGTTGAGTTTTTATGGAATATCTTTTGTCTGGGCTGCATTTTAAGCAGGGGTGCAACAGATGCGCCAATCGCACCGATTTGATACCATTCCCCATTGTTGCACCGACCTCCGCCAAAACCATGAAATTTGCTGAAATTTCGCCGCACACTAAAATGCTCGAACAGCCTCAAAATTATCTCAGGTGTGCTAATTTCAGCGAGAAATCAAAGTAAGCGTGCAGACCCTAAACTTAAACCACCGTGTAATTTAGATACTCGTTAAATGAGGACACTCGCGAGCTGGATTGACCAGTTAAAGTATAAGATGAAGTAACAACAATGCATGCCCATCGGTCCGCTGACCACAGCAGATACCTATAGGCGAGACGACTGAACTTCACGAGAAAAAAAAAAAAATGAAAATGCATTGCTGTAGCCACCACTGCTACACGGAAAATATGAATTTTCTAGTTGGCAAACGCGGTTATGGCATGCTAGGAACGTATGTTGCGTTTTTCGCATGTGAACGAGGTCGACAAGCTGCAAACGTCGTCGTTGCCAACCACTGTGTTGGTTTCCATAGCAGTAGCACTTCACACAATTTGCTGGCTTGAAGTTGCGTCGTTGCGGTGATAGATATACGTCGTCGGGCCAACAGGTGCGCATCGTTGTTACTTTATCTCTTGAATGCACCTTGCAATCGAACCGAGAAGTTGTCTCCATCATGAAAGAAAAAAAAAACAATCGGGTGAGTGGGGGGGGGGGGGGGGGGTTTAGCACTTCGACATATGCTTGGCCTTGTTCTAACCAGCGCAGGATGGTTTATAAGGATCCTCCGCTGCAGTACACCAGTGCCCCGCTAAAAAGTGTACATGATTTGGAAGGGGCTGTTGGCGCTAGTCATAGGACACAGCACATTTTATTCAATACCAATGTGTGTATGTTCCGCATAATTGAGTACTAGTATGATTGCTGACGTCTAAAAAAGGCACTGGCAATCATTTGGAGCAGCCTTTGAGATATTGTGTGTCAGTTTTTTCTTTCATTTTTTTTTTTGCCACCCCTACTCCTTGCTTTTACAAATCTCCCGAATTTTAAGGTCGCCAGCTTGGCAGACACAATTGCATTCGCAGAGTCTGTCAAAGGACTCAGCAGATGTGGCACATACTAACGTGAACTTTATCATTGTTTGCTCAGTGAGATAATTCAGAATACTACTTTTATTGAAAAAGCAGTTCTCATGTTTACTCTGCAGCACTATTTAAGTGGGTTGAATGTGTTGTACATATATTTTGTTTCTAAATGTTAGCATTCTTTTTTACAGTGCTCCAAATTTCATCTTTCATGATAAAAATTCAGTTTTTTTCTCGTAACCTGCTTCGAATTTGGATTTTACTGTTCCAAAATTAACATTTTGCTGCTCCAAACATTTCACCAAATTTTGTTTTCGCTGTTGTACCCCTGTTATAGATAATTCTGTCGCAAAAAGGAATGCAGAAAGAGCTTACAGAGCATCTATTCATCTAATGCTGACTATTGCATATGCAAAATGCTATCCTGTTAACAAGACAACCGTAATTTTTTCTGACAATCGTAGGTAACCGCAGTGTTCTCTTTCCCACTCCTGAATATGACCATTGGTTTTCATTGTTAAAGCTTTGTAGGTGAAGTGTTCACAGCTGATTCACTTTTAATTTATCACTTGAATCACTTATGCACCTTTTTGTTTTGAATTCATCTTTGCGCTGATTTAATTCACTTAGTGCACTAAATATTATTTGTTGTATTTTTACTTTTCATTTTTTTTTTCAAGTGCCTTAGGAATGGAGTTTGCTATACTGTGGGGCCTAGAAAGAAATGCGTTATTGTGAATACAGCTCGGATTTACCCATTTCTTGCATTGAAAACAGTTAATTGCTCGAATCTTGCAGAGAAAAAATTTGTTTGTCACTTGAGAGCCTTCAAAATTTTGCAGAATGTTGTAAGAGTGGCAGTGGTGTTGGGGCGTATGTAAATACACACAAACTCGTCTAGCCATCAGATTTAGTGCAATACATTGCTACTTCCAATCGTGCCCGCACAATCGCGAAGGTTCGTTAGCCTCCCGTGCGAATGGGAGATTTTACATGTGTGCGTGCCTCAAACAGTCATGCATGTTGACGTCTTCGGGCCTGGCTCCTTGACCAAGTCCTGTCTCTGTCTAGTGCACCTTTCTTAGGATGTCTCTTGTGAAGATATGGCTTGCATGACGTGGCAGGTGCATGTGAACACAGTATAGCAATGGTTGGAAGAAAAAAAATGTTACGAAAAGCCATGTGAAATTTAAACGTCATTGCACACGAAGGGGTATTAATGCCTCAGAGGGTCATGCATATAATCTCGTAGGCTATCATGTGCTGCTGATGGTCAACTTGCGGTGAGGCACAGACGTCTGCTCTTGGGTTCTCACGTGAACGCGTGATTGCCACATCTTGCGCGATAGCATTGCTAGCATGCGTTTCTATCAAACATCATGGGTTTCGGGATATGAAACCCCAGATATTAGTTCATGTACTGCATGTCACTTCACATTTGTCAACTTCATTCATCCTACTGCATGTTATACAGATTGCACTTCTCTAGCATTCATTCATCATCATTAGTGTAGTTTTGTGCAGAGTGGCTCAAAGTACTTCTTCTTTGTTATCCTTAGAAAAGAAGTATTCATTTTGGCACAATTTGCCTAGAAATGTCCTAGAAGAACGTCATCCATGTCTAAAATTGGTTATTATGCTGGCAGAAATCATAAACTTCATTCCTGCATCTGTGTTACAATATTTAAGTAGTCTTTTGAATAGGATTTTCTTATTTGTTTTCTGCAGCATACTCTGACTGCATTTTCGTTTAATCTGTTTTTGTTAGCTTAGAAATTACAGGTTTTCAGTAGAAGAGTTCCAGGTCAAGAAAATTATAACCTTCTCCCTCCCCTTTTTGCACCATTGTACAGTACAGTACACTGTTGAAGAGAACAGTTTAATGAGCACTTTTAGTATTGTGACCACTTAATTCCAAGCAGATGTGGAAACATTTTTTGTACACAGCACTGGTCAGTCACAAAGAAGTCTACTCTTTGTGACTGAGTTGTGTTGTCAAAATCATAGTGATTCTGTAATCCTTTAGCACATTTATGGCTCTCATAAGTAGTGATGCATGTCACTTCTCCAGCTTTTAATAGCAAATGCTCAGTTCATGAGTCACTATGAATTATGGAGCATTCGCCCGGATATACTAAAAGGGAAGGTACAAACTTACTCAATGTTCTGGGAGTTCTGACAAATGGTGTCAGCTGATTCCTTGGGAATCTTTCAGCGAGTTGCTGCACATGTGGCGCTTAGAGCCAAACCTGATGACGGTGATAGACTTCGCCGTGTATTCTGAGCCTGCTGAACGATGGCACTCACAGTTCACTATGTCATTCAGCCTCAAAAATAGTTCATATGTTGGACCATGTATAAAGCTTAGGTATCAGTAAATCATCTACAACCCTGCAGGTGCTGGTCATCACTCCTCCGAATTCTTTTAGAAATATATGTGCTGATAGATTCTTTCAGCATGAAAAGCTCAATAACATCACTGGTAATCACTCTCTGAATCCTTTGCAACCCTGCTGGTCCTGTTGCGGGAGCTTGTGCGTGACCGAAAAATGGATATACTTGCAAATAAAAAATTCGGCAGATCCCACATTTCTTGTAAGTCAACGTTATGCAAAGCATGCAGAGGAAAGGTGACCATGTTATAATTTTTTAATGATCAACAAGTCGTGAAATTACGCTTACTATTTGAGTGAATGTTGCGCACACTGACCTATGTTGAAGAGTTGCAGATGTTTACATAACCAGTTGTGTCCTCTTGCGCAATGAGCCCCGTCGTGGTGGTCTAGTGGCTAAGGCATGCAGCTGCTGACCTACAGGTCGCGAGATCGAGTCTCCGGCTACGGTGGCTGCATTTTCGATGAAGGCAAAAATGCTGTAGGCCTGTGTGTTCAGATTTAGGTGCACGTTAACGAATTCCAGGTGGTCGTAATTTCCGGAGCCCTCCACTATGGCGTCTTCATAATCATATCACAGTTTTGGGATGTTAAACTCATTTTGTTATCACTTGCCCAATGATCCTAACGGGAACATGATTATTAGCAAATGCAGGAGTGATGAGCTGATATGGAGCGCTGGTGCCAGCGAGGATAGCTCTGGACATTGCTACATGAATCAACTTCAGCGCATGGAACCTAACTACAATTGACGTTAACCCGACGTGATGGTTGTATCATAAAAGCACAAATGTAATATTTATAGAATTGAATAGCCAGCCCTGCAACTACAACATATGTTTCACGATCGCTAAGGTCTATTTGAATAGTAGTTTCGAGACTTGCCAAGGCTTTGAGGTAGAATACTTGATTACCCCACGTAATGCTAGGGTTTGTTTCCTGCTGGGACTTTGACACTTATTCTCTGCATTCATGTGGTCAACGCTGCCGATGTCAACTTTTTCTTAATGCTCGCACATTAAAATTGCCCAAGTGGGTTCTTGCCATTACTTGGTAGATATTGTGTCAGTCACCTGTGCCGCATACCCGTGGGTATGTGCCACCAATTGGTGGGAAATGTTCTACGAGGTATGCAATGGGATGGTGACATTATTCATGTCTTGACCAGTGTGTCATATTCGTCAAACAATCCTACCCTCCCATCTAAAATGAATCTTGCTGCTTTTTCTGCACTGCCTCTAAACTTTCAATCTTACACTCCTTATGCGGGTTCTAGATAACGGACGTGTAGTCACTATAGGACAAATTAGCGATTGATATAAGAGGAGGTTTGTGTATTTTGGGGATTTGGACAGAGCGCGGCGTAGGTAGCTGATTTTTTTTAATGCTTTGTTTCAATAATAGTCAATGTGCTTAGCCCAAGACATGTCATGTTTGAAAAGGACACGGCGATACTTATATTCACAAACTCTACTGACAGGATTGTTATCAAAAGGGTAGTAAAAAACATAGGGTGATTTATTACAAAAAGATGCAAGCATGAATTTCTTAGAGTTAATACTCGTTTGCTAAGTTTTGTACCAATTGCAAAACCCAGCAAATGACTCCTGCAAGCGGTAGTGGTCACGAAGTGTTTTAATAATTTCATATAAAGTGCAATCATTGACATAAAAACGAACGGTAGAGGAGGTGTGAGCAGGCAAGTCGTTCACGCAAAAGCTAAAGGCCCAAGAGCAGACTCTTGTGGCACACCCGATGTTACATTAATAACAGCAGAGTTGGTTCACCTTTAATAAACAAAGTGAAAGCGAGATGACAAAAAGCTAAATGGACACTTAACTAATTGAGCATTGTTTAATATCACGTGTTTAGCAAGGAGTTTAGAATGTAAAACTGTGTCAAAGAAAGAATATACCATCAATATGGTCGCCATGATCAAGGCTAAGCAAAATATCGTGTGTGAATTCAACTAATTGTGTTGTTGTACTGAAACCATGTCTAAAACCATGTTGTCTGTGAGATAGTATTCTGTTTGATTCCAAGAAAAGCGTAATCTGTTTATGAGTGATATGTTGTAACATTTTACATGATTGAGAAGTAAATGATATTGGTCTATAATTTAATAGAGACTCCTTATCGCCAGATTTAAAGAGACAGAGCCTTTTTCCATGAAGAAAGAACAGTGCTAGAAAATAAGGATTTATTCAATATGATTGTTAAATATTTTGATGACCATAGAGTAGCGAACTAAGAATGCATTGTGCATCTCGTCCGGGCCGATGCATTTCTTTATTTCCAGTTTTAAGATAAAGCTAAGAATGCGTTCATTTGTTATTTCAATATCACTGATTTGTTCAGAATGAGGAATACCTCACAAAGAATGGTGTTGTTGTTAGAAAGAATTGCAGAGTGGAAATAGTTATTGAAAGCATTAAATATAGCTGGTGGGTTTGTTATTATGTCATCATCTAATTTGAAAAAAGGAGGTGATGCAGCATGAGGCAAAATAGAACAACAGAGTTTTCGTGGATTAGTCTTTAACAGATCATGCAGCAGAATGCGATAAAATGAATCTTTCGCTGTTTTCATCATTGAGTTGAGTTGATAACTTGGCACTCTGAAACCTGTTTAGGGCAATGGGATAATTAGATCTTTGGGAGTGCCTAAGTCGACAGGCTTGATAAGATAAATGCAAGAGGTCACGAGACATTGAAGTAATCCAAGGAAGATCAACATTGTTTTTATTTGTCCTAATTGGCAAAAATCATTAGATACACGTCTTTACAAGATCTTCAAAGTAATTAACAAGACAAGATATATGTCTTGACTGTCAGAAAGCACAGAACATGTATTAAACTGGGGAGCTAAAATAGCAGCTGTGGAAGTGTTGTCATCACGAGTGAAATCGGGGAAGCTGGTGAATGTATAAGATGATTTGGACATGGGCAAAGTGTTAACAAGATGACCTTATCATCAGAGAATCCCGCAACTATTTTGCAAGAGAAGTTGCTGTCAGCAAGATCTGTACTTAAGGAAACTAGGTCTAGGATAGAATTGAGCCTAGTTTGACATGAGAAGACTTGAGTAAGCCTGAAGGATCGAGAAATATTTAATAATTCATGGCATATTGCAGCATCATCACCTGTAAAGTCAGAGAAGGCCAATGGATATTGGGAGCGTTGAAATCGTCCGTACAGATAAGTCTTCTTAAAGCAATATTTACATTGCACGTAAAATTGGAAAGAACTTGAAGAACTTCAAGGGATGATCTGGGTGGGCGATACACAATGCTAACTACAGTACACCGATTTTTTAGGTAGACCTTGCATCAGATGGGTTCTGTTTCAGCAGGCACGGGCAGCACCGAGAACAGGATATCTGACCGGATAAGTTGTGCAACGCCGCCGCCAATGCTTGTGTCCTGTCCTTAAGTACGGCAATGAAACGAGGTGGAGTAAACTCAAAATCGTAAATGTTACAATGAAGCCATGACTCTGTGATGCCAATGATATGAGAGGTATTAGTTGCGACAAGAGACAATAGATCTAAAAGGTTTTTAGCAACACTACAAGCATTAACTTTCAGGACCGTGATGTTTTTATAAAGGCTATATTGAGATGATGCAGTGGATGAGGCAGGATTCGAAGATACGGGTACTCAAAATCGAGAGCCAGGTGTTGAATCTGAGACCTTCGCTTAGGAGTTTGAGGTGTCGTCTCAAGTATAACTTATGTTGTCAGTGAACGCATGGTCGTATCTTAACGTCACCTCAGAGCCGTTATTTCAAAAATAAAGTCAAGTTTCTCAAATTTTCATCTGTATGCGTCTAATATGTGCAAAAATATTTTCTGTAATAAACACGTTGAGCCTTTCAGTTTAAATGCATTTTTAAAAACAAGGGCTTCCTCCCCCGTGGTAGAAACCTTTAGGATGACAGGTCGTGTATAGTCACTACATACTTTTTCAAGCCTGTGGACGCATTCGATTTGTAGGCAGGTAATTTTCAATGTATTGTTAAACGCAGAAGTTAATGCTGCACTACAGCGTACTAGGGTTTTCAGCGGGATCTTCTAAAATGCTGTGTATGATCGTTCAGCAAACTGGTAGCGCGGTAGAACACACACAAGAAGCAACGAGGCACACAGCACGAGCGCTCATGCTGTGTGCCTTTTTGCTTGTTGTGTGTGTTTCCTTGCGCTCACAGTTCACAGAACGACAAAGTAACGGGTTGCCGTGAACATTGACTCTTGGTGGCTCAAAGGGTGATGCGCAGGTGTTGTCCCACATCGAAGTGATATGGAATGCCCATGGCAGACAGTCCATGAGGTCCACGTGCCGAGCCAGGAATGACTGGGCAGAACCATGTGCATCAGAGACAGAGCATGTGACATCCCAGAAGTTCAGATTCTCCAAGTCGGCGAGGAACTGCGGAAATTGCAAGCAACGAGTAAACATCGAGCTGGTGCTGCTGCGGCGTAGCCCACTTGAGACCATTTAGCCGGTGCACAGCAAGTTTGAAAAGATTTCATACACTAAGTGTTCGAAGTACGCACCTGAGACGGGATATTGTTGTCGTGTTCAACTCTCAAAGGCGAAGCTTCAGATACCCCAATTTTTTCACGGCCCTTTGTTTTTATAGATTCATTCTGATCATTCCTTATTGAGCTGGGAAACCTCAATAATGACACTGAAAATTTATTCCATTTGTTGTAGTAGAGAGAGACACTGCTATTCAAGCGCATAGAACATGAAGTTGTACTTACTCGCTGGCTCAAGTCTCACGTGTGTGTTGTCTTTCATTATTGCTACGACTCAAGAAAGTCATATTCTAAACGTCCCGCAATGTCTAAAAGAGAATGTCTACACATTTGATTGCCTGGCATCAACAGTTGATGCATCCATCTTTATTTAGCTACAGGGCCTCTGTTTAATATAATCTACCGACATATCTTGTGCTAAAATGGGGGAACACACACATAGCTCATTGGTTTGGTTCACAAAGCATTTGTTTCTTTCATATCTAATATGCTGCGACAATTCACTGCCTCAACGTTCAATTTCTTATTATATTTTCTTCCAAATTCAAGTGCTAAATTCAAGTGCCCTCTGTATAGAGGTTGTCTTTTCAAAAAATAAGTAAGCACCAACTTGGTAATGAAAGGGGTCACTCAATTACAGTACTAAGAAAAAAAAGGTTTGATGAAGCTTAGCTAATGTTGAATGTACTGCATTGTTTGTGCTTGTTTTAACAGTTGTCTGTGTACTTTTGCAGATGTGACCATGCCTTTATGAAGAAATGTACAAGTCTCGTGCTTTGGATATTGCCAGAAAGCCATGGCTACAGTGTCCTCTTGGAAATAATTATTTCATGATAACATTGCTGCTTAATATTTTGTGAACGTGGGATTGCAGTGGGGATGTGGTCCATGTCCGTGGACTGCTCCATTAAATAGGCTTCATTGAAATAAGTGAAATTGACTATTCAATTTTGGCTCTGTAAATCGAAATTGGGAGGAAGTATATAATGAATTTCTTTGTGATGGTTATGTTTCATCAGTGTGAAGAAGTATTGCCTGTTTTGTAAATCACTAGTTGATGTGAAGCATTTATTGATGCACCTTTTTACACATCCGCATGTGCTGAAAAGAAGAAATTTGTATCTAAGCAACGGCAACACTCGGTAGTGACTCTTTGATTTTACACTGTTGAATGTAAGCGTTTAGTAGTGGCAACCTGATATTACCTTATTTGCATTTTGCCCTCTCAAACATTGGTGCATGTGTTCATGTGTGTCGTGCTTTCTTGTCAACAAAATTTTTGATATGGACAAATAAACTGCTTGTTTTGCAGTTCCACTTACTTAGCAACAACCATTGAAATTTGTCTAAATCTTTCTCATTTTATTCTATCATAAAAAATTGTACCATTCTTGATTCGAACATTCATAATTGCTTTTGCCTTTTTTCTCAGTGATGCTTAAAGTGCAAGTAGTGCATTGAGTTGATTGCACTGTTTTGTATTATATGAAAGTTTGTTTTCCATTTCTGGTGTATGAGGACAGTCTTAGAAATGCAATAGTCATTGTCTGTATTCACTGTACAGTAATAGCTTGATAAATCGAACAGGTTTATTGGTCGAGGCCAGAATCTGCATTGTTTAATGGCGTGAAGCTCTGGTAATTTGGTCATATTTCGCCTGAACACAAGTAACTCGTACAGTCATTGGAGAGTGCTGAGCACGAAATGCCAGCCATACAACGTTCGGAAAAATCATGTGCCCGTTGAACTGGTAATGACAGTAGCTGTAGGTAACAGTGTGGTGCAGAACACAATTCAGGCTTATTAAAGATGGGGGGGTCTTGTAGCTTCGCCGCTTTGTGGACGAAGTTTCAGGATGATCAGCAACGTAGCTTTCTGGGCGAGTTGATTCATAGTAATAGGGAAAAAGAACCATCGCAAAACCACACGATCACAGCGAAGAACAACCACAACAGGACAAGCGCTGGACTTGTGGCTGAATGTTCATTGAAGAATTGCACACACCTCCACACATGAAACAATAGAGCATGTGTAAAAAAGTACCATCTGAGCCATGTCAACCTTGGGCACCTAACTGCCATGTCATAAAATGTGTGAAGCAATGATAAAATTTAACGCTTGGCTTACCGACTATCTATGAACGCCAACTCTTTCTCTTTGAGGAAAACTGAGGGTTTGCTCACACATGAGAATTTGCCCCGCTATCTAATTGCGAAGGCCTCACAGGTGTCACATTCAATTCTTTTCTACCTTTGCCTATTACGATCGCTGATTTTGACAATTACGATCTGCACCGTGTAAGCTCTCCAGACTGCAATCGCATAGCAATACAGAAAAATAGTTTGAGCAGCATTTGCGGAAAGAAGCGAGCTAACGTCTTCACGAAATTGGCTGTTTTGCTAGTATACCTAATTCTCTTGTCATGCAACTGTGTCTATATCAGCCAGACGGGCCGATGTCTGAATGACAGGCTGCGTGAACACCGCTATCTCCCCCCCCCCCCCCCCCCCCTGGCACTTGTGGAAACTTTCCTTTGCATTTCAAAAGCTGCGACTGCATTCCAGATTTCAAATCAGCGAACGTAATTGGCGAAGGTAGAAACAAGATTGATCGTAAGATCTGTAAGGCCTTTGAAATGAGGAACCGGGGCGAATCGTCATGTATGAGTGAGCCCTCGGTTTTACTCACAGAAAAACAGTGTGGGTTTTAGATAGCTGGTAAACCAAGCCTTAAAGGGACTATAAAGTCAAATAACAATTCACCTCAGAGTGAAAGCTCAATATATGACAACATCTAAAATGACAATATTATCAACAACAGTGCCCTACTTAAAGAAAAATTAAGGTGAATGCACAAGAACACATACGCCTCAGTAAGACATTTTCAAAACTTTCCCAATCACATCAGACGAACCACCTACATTTAATTAATAGTAATCGATCTAGCCGCACTAAATAGAAAAATCTTCCGTACATCAAGAGACGCAATAAAATGCCGCTTGATCGTTTCTGTTTGAATAATGGATTGATATGTGGGGTTTAACGTCCCAAAACCACCATGTGATTATAAGAGACACCGTAGTGGAGGGCTCCGGAAATTTCGGACACCTGGGGTTCTTTAAAGTGCACCCAAATCTGAGCACACAGGCCTACAACATTTCCGCCTCTATCGGAAATGCAGCCGCTGCAGCCGAGATTCGATCCCGCGACCTGTGGGTCAGCAGCCGAGTACCTTAGCACCTAGACCACTGCAGCAAGGTATCTGTTTGAATAATGCAAAGAAGAACCTCCGGACGCTACTAATGGGGAACGGCACAAGCGGTTCAAAAATTTATTTCTGCTTGGTCAAGCTGGACAGGTCGTGCTATCTAGCGAGTTCCAGCTGTACCAAAATAAGTCTGTAATTTCTGAGCCAATGGTGGGAAATCGATCAATGGCTGTTGTTGCTGCTGTGGCTCCCGTTGCTTTCGGTCTGCTGCTACTAGCGCAGTAAAGCTGGACAACATTGTGCATGGCAATAGTGATGCGAGTCATTCCGGTCGGTCCTCTTCTTGAGGCAGGTAATTTGAAGTGCGCTAACCCGATGCGGAACACCAATACGTGATTTTATTTCCAAATAGGCCCTTCCTTGGCACAAAAGTACACTACAAGGTTTCTGGACTGCTATTTCAACAATCAGCGTAGACTTACTAGTTTCCTTTAGTGTCCCTTTAAATTTCATCATTGCTTCACACGTTTCATGATATAGACAGTTTAGTGCTCAAAGTTGATATGGCTCAGAAGGTCCTTGTTTGAGCATGCGCTGTCGTTTCATGTCTGAGGGTGTGCCGAATTCCCCAATAATGAATCAGTTGCAAGTCTAGTGCTTGTCTTGTTTAATTGTTGTTTTTCGCTGTCTTTGTGAGGTTTTTCGCTGGCTCTTTTTCTATTGGAGGATGATAAAAGTTGCGACTTTTAACTCCTCTTATGCAAAATAAGTGGATATTTACTAACTGGTAAAGAAATATTAAATGATTTGATATGAGAAGTATTAGCATTTTAATATTTTTAGTATTTAGGTTGATTCAGATATTTTGGCCAGTCTCGTGAAATCCGAGCTAATGAGCTTTTAACATAGTTATGCGTAAAAGTAGAATTTGTGCTCGTATGTTTGTTAGAGTAAGTGCTTGGAACATTATAGAAGGAATAGCTTACTTATGTTTTATTTAATCATTATGCTGTCACTGAAGTAGTTTACAAACAATATTGGAAAATGTGTAAAAAGCGCGAGTACTCAGAGTTTATTTCTTCGGCATTTCTCATAAATGTGCCAGCATTTCTAACTACCAAAGTGTGATATTTTTATCCTTTGTCAATGATTTGTTTCCCTTTTTCCATAATTTTTTTAGTTTGTTTCATAATAACCTTGCAAACTCGTATTTTATTTCTTATGCTGCATGCATTGAGTGCCAAATATTTTTTTTTTATTAAAGTGTAGTATTTCATAGATGTTTCTATGGGGGGAAAAAGTGCAATAAATGTTCCACTGAGCTGGTGCTTAATCTATTAGCTTATTATGGATAAATATTGTTATTAGGTATAGTACCAGAATTACATCGATATTGTATTCGTGCACATTTACTGGAGGTCTTTTCATGTGTTAGACATAGTATGTACAAAGAGAGAGGGAAACTTTGTAACCACGTCGTCCTGGCGCAGTTATTGCTCAAGTAACATGTAACTTGCTTATGCGAAGGTGATTATGTATTTCATCTACTAGTGCAGTAATTTTTCCTCATTGCCTAGTGCTCTTGTGTAGTTGCACATAATGCATGTAAGGTTTTCATTGCCTCTATTTTGTCTCTGTGGTTTTGCAGGTTCCTTGTCTTCAGCCTCCCGTGAGGCGTACCATTCACTTGTGTCCATACGAGGAGGACAGCATTCGTGTCGTCAGTGCAGCTATGCGACCAAGTACAAGGCCATCATGCAAAGACACCTCTTCAAACACACGGGCGAGCGCCCCTTGCAGTGTCACTTGTGCCCAGCTGCATTTTCTCTGAAAGGGGTCCTCAAAAGACACCTTCGTACGCACACAGGGGAGCGTCCCTTTTCCTGTGACCAGTGTAATGCGTCATTTTCACAGAATGCGAGCCTCACTGGCCACATGCGCACCCACACAGGGGAGCGTCCCTTTTCCTGTGACTGCTGTAGTGCATCGTTCTCCCGGCGAAATAACCTCGTGGATCACATGCGCACATACACAGGAGATCGTCCGTTTTCTTGTGACCAGTGCAGTCTGTCATTTTCACAGAGGGGGACTCTCATTAGGCACATGCGCACCCACACAGGAGAACGTCCCTTCTCCTGTGGACACTGTAACAAATCTTTTTCACAAAGACACCACCTTGAAAAGCACATGTATCGTTGTCATACAAGAAAGTCAACATAAAAAGCGAGTTTTGTGCGGGTACTTTCTTCATCGAAGATGGAACTCAAGGTTTTTTTAATCCACAGTACAGTTCTATGAAATTCTAACTATTTGCATAACTTCTTATGCTGATTTGAAATATGTAATCAGTTTTTTAGTGATTTGCATAGCTTTGTTTTGTACCAGGACATTGTGTAAAATAACTATTTATGCTTGAACTTTTTCTATAACGAAGCATCTTTATAATAAGCCATTAATGGCTCGTATTGCTCTGCATAAACGGTGCAATGCAAATAACTAATCAAGAAAGTTTGTATAGATATTGTATAATGTAACAAAAAAGTTTTGAAATGTGAGAATCTTGAAATTGTCACTCCATAATGATTGCTTCTTTTTAAATTATACATTTAAAATGATACATTTAAAAGAATATATTTGTATTCTTCAGATGTTAAGGAATATGTGCGAAGGATTTTATCCTTATCTGGCCATCAGTAGTACCAAAAGCATTATGTCCACAATCTCAAAAAGATGTCTAAACTTGCATCATGAGAAAAATGCATTTTAAATATAGAGAGGAAAGCTGATCTGTGTGATTTTTATAATGATTTCTTATATTATAAGAGCTTCGGAATTAATTATGATATCTGACAGGCAGTCATGCCAAGTGATATTCTCTCAGATCTCATTAATATTTTGTCTAAAAATGAAAGAATCCTTTGGTATTGAAATGGTATTAATATTGTTGCTGTTTTTTTGTAAACATTCTTGGTATATTCATGCTCATAGCAAACCTATTATGGTAGGACACTGATCGCTAATGTGCAAGAAAGACAGGTATCAATCCTTTTATGTCAATATTGTAACTTTATTATTTTTAATTGTGTATGTTTTAGATGCAACATTATGTACCCC